AGCAACTGCGTGATGCTGTCATATCAATATGGACCAGAAGCTCTGAGGAATGTTTCCTACACCTTGTTGAATCTATGACATGAAGAATTAAGGCAGTTCTAAAGGCAAAAGGGTGTCCAACCCGGTACTAGCAAGGTGTACCTAATAAAGTGACCGGTGAGTGTATATACAAAAAATATATATATATATATATATATATATATATATATATATATATATATATTTATATATATTATTTTTTTTTTTTTTTTTAAAGACACTGTCCATTTCAGTTTTCGGCTAAGTGCATCACTACAGAATACATCAAATACTGAAAAGATACAAAATATTGACATTGGAAAGTAGAATGTTATCATCCTGTTTTCTTTGTTCATTTGTTGTTGTATGATAATATCCACATTATTTGAAATACAACTGTGGGTGAAGAGAGACCAATAGGACAAGCTACACAGGCAATCTAGTAGCTCAATCACACTGCTTAAATCGGTTTTAATTAGATTCTGAAAATCCAAATGGTCTCCTCAATAGAAGAGTGGTGGTATTTCCCACTTTAGCAGTGAGTCAGAACTCTGCTTTGTTCAAACAGTACAGCTTTGCACAAAGTCTTCACATGCAACACACAGGTGTGTTGAATGCACGATTTTTCACATTGGCACCTATGTTACTACCGTCCTGTAGTAACGTAGACCACACGAGCCACCATAGTGAAAAGTGGCCTACCTCATCGCAGGCTATCCCCACTCCAGTCTATCATGAATGCTGCTGCCAGACTCATCCACCTTTTCTAACCGTTCTGTGTCTGCCTCCCCTCTCTGCCAATCCTTCCACTGGCTCCCAGTTGCCCAATGGATAAAATTCAAAACACTAACAATGACCTATAAAGCCGTCCACAACACTGCCCCAAATTACATAACCGATCTTGTCTCTAAATATCACCCAAACCGTACACTCCGCTCCTTGCAAGACCTCCTACTCTCTAGCTCCCTTATCTCCTCCTCCCATGCACGTCTCCAGGGTGTCCCCCATCTTCTGGAGCTCCCTACCCCAATCTATCGCTACTTACTTTTAGGCAATCGCTGAAAACCTATCTCTTCAGGGAAGCCTATCCCGTCCTGCTAATACTGGAATCCTCTACTCTTCCACGCACTCCATCCCCCACAGTTATTACCTATTGTAACATTAACCCCTCCCTCCTAGATTGTAAGCTCCAAGGAGCAGGGCCCTCAAATCCCTCTTGTATTGAACTGTTTGTTACTGTATTGTCTCCCACTATAATGTAAAGTGCTGAGCAAACCGTTGGCGCTATATAAATCCTGTATAATAATAATAGAGGATGTAGACCTTTCACACTCTCAGTCGGAAGTGTCAAATGCTAAAGACTTTACCAGAGGAATATCACAGTGGCGTAGACTTGTCGCCCATCAGAGGTAAGTTTTTTTTTTTTTTTTTATTTTTTTATTTTTTTTTTTTTCACTCCTTTATTTTTTTGGGGGAGTCTTGCTAATTTCTAAGAAATAGCTGCCTTCTCCATACAAATAACAACATATACAGGCAGTCTCTGACTTATACAACTCATACTTCCGAATGGAGGGAGACAACAGGAAGTCAGAGGAAATCTATTCCTAGGAAAGTAAATTCACTTTTGTAAGTCTTTTATAATTGGGGGGGGGGGGGGTCCGAGTGCTGCATGCAGTCCTCCTAAGTCTGTTGTGGGAACATTGATTTGGGGTAATAGCATTGATTTCTACTAGCCTCGTGCAACATGTTCCCAGTTTTGTATGGTCTTCTGCAGCATATTCCTAGCCAAAAGTGTAGCGTGTCCAGTCTCTGACCCTCATTTCCTGTCTTAAGCATGCAATTTCTGACAGTCCTCTCAAGCATTACATCCAGTGCACAGTATAAATGCGTACACCCCAACAGATTTGTCAGAAAACCTTTTTACCTTCCTTTCAGAATCAACATTTTCTATGGAACATGATTTTTCCCTAACAAATTAATTCAAGACCATGTTGCAAAAAATGAATACATCCCAATGAAAGTCTTAGGAGCAAAGCTAAATTTTAGACAACAAAATTCTAATTAACAAGAATTCAACTACAGGTAAGAGTAAATTATTCATTAAATAGGTGTCCAGCAGACAATTGATTATAAAAGGGTGTTAACCAAGAAACCCCCTTCCCATTTCATGCTGTCAGCAATGGCACCACATGGAAGAGAAATGTCACAAGGCCTAAGAGAGAAAATTTGTTTATACAAGAAAGGTGAAGGCAACAAGGTCTGTAAAGCTTTACTTATCAGTTAGAATACTGTAGCAAAAGTGATACAAAAATTAACAAAGACGGAACTGCAACCATCTCAGAGACATCCATGGACATTAACACTTTGACAGGAGCGTCTTCTGATGAAAAAGGTTGAAGAAAATTGCAGTTCATGTTCACTGCAGTTGGCTAAAGAAGTAGAAGCCAAACGGGTGATTGTTTCCTGTGACACAATATGGCATACACTGCAGAGGAATGGCATGCATGGGTGTCTCCTCCAAAGGAAGCCTTTCCTAAAGCTCACCTAGAATTTACCAGGGCCCATGCTGAAAAAGAAGACTACTGGGACTCTGTACTCTGGAGTGATAAGACCAAGATAAATGTTTTTGGAACTGATGGCTTCAAAACTGTATGGTGTCACAAAGGTGAGGAGTATAAAGAAAAATGCATGGTGCCTACAGTGAAACATGGTGGTGGCGGTGTCCTTCTGTGGGACTGCTGGTGTGGGGAGCTGCATTGATGGTATCAGGAATTCACAGATGCACTGCTCGACATTGAAAGAGAAGATGCTACCATCACTCCGTGCCCTTGGTCGTCGTGCACTTTTCCAACATGAAAAGTATCCAAGATGCACATCTAAGTATATCTCCTTATCTGAACCCAGTCGAACACCTATGGTGAATTCTGAAGACAAGTTGAGCATCACTCTCCATCCAGCATCCAGGCGCTAAAAGAGGTTGTTCTTGAAAAATGGAAAGATCCATTTGTTGCAATATGTCACCAACTTGTTCATTCCATGCCTAGAAGACTTGGTGCTGTCCTTACCGATCATGAAGGTCATAGAAAACACTAGATGTAGTAGGTTTTTGTTGTGAGGTGTATTCATTTTTGCATCAACAAATTTGAGTAAAACTGATGATCTAAATTTATATTAATCTTGCTTTCGTATAATGAGCTAAACAGATGTTCTATAAAACTTGTTTTGTCAACATTTTAAAAATTGTTCTTGTGTTCATTGAGATATTGATTAAAATCTTACGTTTCAAGATGGGTGTACTCCATTTATGCTGAGCACTGTATATTGAACATTATGTGCAGGTGTTTTATGTCAGGGCTGCATTTGAGGCCCTATTTATCTCATAAGTTAACTACTGAACTAGGTGTTTAGTGTAGTTACAGTATGTTCCCTGTGTTTGCTTACCTTGTAATGATGGGCTAGCGTGTTGTGGTTGCTGTTTAGTGTCTTGATGACTGATCAATGGCTGATCAATTCCCTTATGTCCATGTATTGCTTCAGCTAGCATGTTTGTAGACCATATTCTGCTTCAGATAACATTGCTTCCAATGCATGCCTTGCCGTCCCCTCTGTCGCATCAAACGTGACAGAAACAAAAAAACTTTCCATCGCCATGGTGAGCTCTCTGTGCATCTGTTGGTGCTCTGCCTGCTTACTTCTGTGTCAGATCTGATTACTGTGTGGTGCTCAACTGCACCCAGCACTAGACAGAGAACCCCAGGGATTGTGGGATGTGTAGTTTCTTCACAGGAAATGTCAGTTCTCACACTACGGACAGTGGTCAAGCATTAACCAGGGTGCCATACCAAATACTTCCATGTTTTCTAGACAAACTGCTGACATAGGAATGTGAACATTTAATTCACTATAGACTGTGCATACAGGGCAACAAATTACCCCATGAAACTTCATGATCAGTGCACCTGATGCAGATAAAAAGCACAAGGTTCAGGTAGGAATGTTTACAGTGACTATAAATGCATTTTTAACCTAGGACTGTAGGGATAATCTGTGTTTAGCCAGCTTCACCTTATTCCTGGCTCTGGCAGACCTCCTCTATCCATGCGACCAGTCCAATGCTGCTAACTCTGGAAGGTGCTTTCAGCCACCGTTTTCATGTTTGCCTCCTCTATGTACAATGCGGTGTTACTAGCCATATACTGTATGTGTTAAGGCCAATGGACCGTCTAAAGCTTTGGGCTGAAGAGACTGGCACAGGATCCTGTGGCTTAGGCTGGTAATACAGATGGCAATTTTCAGTGAGTTCATGATGAACCAGCTGAAGCTTACTAGGTGGGGTGGCCGTATGGTCTCCCCTCCCGCCCCAGCATTACTCTATTAAAAAAACTAAGGAAGCCAGGCAGAAAATTGTCGGTCAAACTACACATCCAGTGAGATGCAGGCTCTGTTCTGATGATTTGGAATTTGTGTTGTGTGTGTGTGTGTGTGTGTGTGTGTGTGTGTGTGTGTGTGTGTGTGTGTGGTTTTAACTTAAAAAAAACAAACAAAACCTTGTATTAACCACTTGCCTACCGGGCACTTATACCCCCTTCTTTACCAGGCCAATTTTCAGCTTTCAGCGCTGTCGCACTTTGACAATTGCGTGGTCATGCAACATTGTACCCATATGAAATTTTTATCATTTATTTTTTTCTCAAAAATAGAGCTTTCTTTTGGTGGTATTTAATCGCCGCTGGGCGCTTTTACTTTTTGCGCTTTTAAACAAAAAATTTGAAAGTTTTTTTTTTTTTTTTTTTTTCTTTTTTTTCTTTTGTTTCGATTTATAAAATTTTTTCAAACAGGTAATTTTTCTCCTTCACTGATGTGTGTTGATGAGGCGGCACTGATAGGCGGCACTAATGAAGTGGCATGGATAGGTGGCACTAATAGGCAGTACTAATGAGGTGTCACGGATAGGTAGCACTGATAGGCGGCAATGACTGACATTACTGCTGGGCACTGACTGGTGGCACTGCTAGGCATTGACTGGCACAATCGGGCACTGACTGGCAGCACTGCATTGATGGGGACTGGTCAGCACAGGTGGGTGGCAGTTCTGGGCACAGGTGGGTGGCACTGCTGGGCACAAGTAGATGCACTGATGGGTGGCACCGGTGGGTGGCACTGCTGGGCACAGGTGGGCAGAACTGGTGGGTGGCACTGCTGGGCACCGATCATCCGTGCCCTGATGATCGGTGCCGATCCCTGCTCTGACAACTGCCGGTTCTCGGCAGTACTTTCCTCGCACTCTGACAGCGTGAGGAAAGTGCAGTCGAGAACCGGCAATTGCATTTCCCGGTGATCAGCGTGTCATTGGACTGTGATTGGCCTTTTACCACATCACGTGATCAGCTGTGTCAGTAGGACACAGCGATCACGGAGATCGCTGGGTGCATGCCCCTGGGGGCGCGCAGGAGAGCGTGTTCTGGGAGGACGTCATATGACACCCTCCCAGAACTAGCCGGCCGCAGTGTAGCCGTCATTCGGCTATCTGCGGTTGGCAAGAGGTTGAGCAAGAATTGCATAAATTTTGCCATGTATGTATCCACGAATAATGATTTTAGCGAAATTATTGAGAAACCTTTGTGCAAATAACACAGGGCCTAGGAAAAAAAAAATCTGTAGTACCTTCCTTTCATCCTACTGGTCCTATGCTTTCAGAAAAACATGGGTTGGGGGGGGGGGAGGTGTCTTACACAAACTTTGAACGCTGTACGAGGGGGGGCGAAGATGGTCTGACACCTGAGTTTAAAGGTGGAGAGCAGGGCCTGGCAGTGAAAGGATTAAATGGCTTTTTTTTTTTTTTTTTTTGTGGTGCTCAGATGCAGTGCAGTTCCACTTCAAAGCTTCTTTGGCTGAGTGTATTGAAAGCCTTTGCTCTTTCCCAAATGTGTATGTTACATTCGCATGTAGTACATTAGAAAGGACATTTTAATGTTAAATAAAACCTTGTGTACATGGTATTTATTTCATTTCTTGATTTAAAGTACACGTGACCATTTCCTCCTCTACTACTACCACCTCTTATCCTCTTGGATATTATTGCAGTGGTAAAATGGTGGCTGTGAAATGGCAAAATCTAAAGTGTTGCCTATGGACATTTTGCCAAAGGAGGACATCTATTTAGTGTTCCCTGTGAATGATGGCCCTTGTTGCTCCCACTCCCTATGGTCTCACAATACCTCACGTGTGGTGCATTTGCTAATTTAGACATGTGCACATTCTAGGCCCCCCCACCTCAAGTTTATTTATTTCCATCAACAAGCAGGCTAACAAGCCCTCCATATGATATTGGGTGATAGTTTCTCCTTATGTAGACAATGGGGGGCTATAATACTGCTAATGTCCATTTAAAACTTACTTGATTAGCTTCTTCCTTGGCTACAGCAGATGAGGAATGACAACACTGAACCCGGTAAGTAGCTAAATGCTTATTGAGTTCATTAGTTGCATTTCCTGAGCTCTTCCCACTGTTTGTCTCAAACTGCAGTTATGTCCTCCCCAGAGGAATGCGTATTCATAATCACTGTGGGGAGGAGGAGAGAAACACGTGGCTTATTCACAGTACCCTAACAGTAATTGGGCAGTTTGGCAACTGATTTGATGCATGCGTTTTTTGGCTATTTTCTATGTGGCTACTTTTGACAAGTTGATTTGAAAAATAGACTTTTGGGCCACCAACCTATTGAATTTTGGCTGACATTTTATATGCATGTATGGCCATATTTACCCCCTTTTTTTTTTTTTTTTTTTTTTTTTTTTTTTTAAGTGGCAGCTACTCAGAACACAGTGACAGAAGTTTCAACCAGATCCTATATCCTTTATTGGTATCAAAATCCAACTCCAGCCAAAACTATATTGGATGGAGTGTGGAATGGTAGACACTTGGAAAATCTTTCCAAGGTGACAACTTGGAACCTTTTATATTCTCCTATATTCCAGTCACACAGTGTCACAGGGGCAGAAAGTAATGGATACATCTGTCAAGCTTGCTTGAATAAAGTAATGGCATATTTTTCAGAAAAGCAGTTCTTATGCTCGAGTTGTATGACTGTGCCTTGGAGATTTCAGTCTGCTGTTTGAGCTGAGTGTCTTTGGTTTTGTAGAGTGTGTGTGTGTGTGTGTGTGTGTGTGTGTGTGTGTGTGTGTGTGTGTGTGTGTGTGTGTTTCCCCCCTTATGTACTTTCATATCTTTTTACTAATGCTAGCAGCATATTTACTTAAACTATTTTTCGCAATCCTTTAGTCACTTCCTAGTTTCCATGCCTAGAGAAATGTCAACCCCTCTTCAGGAGGGGTTTTCTAAGTTCAGGCAGGAGGGTGTGCTTGGCTAAGAACAGATGGATTCTGGGAAGTAACTGCTACATGAATAATCTGCCCCTACTCAAGATGGCCACGACAAGAAATGTTATGGGGTGTTTTTCCAAGTGATTTCTCGCTTAAACATGGATGGATGGATGGGAGAGTTTGCTTTGTATATGTACAAATGAATAAATGGCTCTTTGGTTTGTGGTGCTCAGATACAGTGTGGGTCTGCTTTGAGGTTGGTTTGCAGACGCACAAGCACCAGGATTTATGATGGTCATCTCTGGCCGGGAAGGAGGTGCTGACCCTGGATGACCCTGAACAAAATATGGCTGATTCTTCTGGCTGGGGACACAGATTAAGATGTTGTCATGGGTACTGGGAGCTCTCTTAGAGGAAAGAACTACCTTTTTGTTATGCTTATATGCCATGCATGTGCTTGGCAAGTTTAAATATTTAGCAATATTTAATATATTGCTTTCTTTGCCTTGTCCTGCTGACTCCTGTTCTCTTACTTTTCTTGTCCTGGTGTTGCTGGTACTGGAAATGATTGTAATCTTTCCACTCCAGCAACAGACTACATTAAAAAAATAAAAAACTGCTCTGGACTCTAGAATTGTGGTGTGTGTGTGTGTTTTTTTTTTTTTTTTTTTTTTTTTCTCCTGTCCCCTCAAAGTCTGACTGGAGATGGGCTTTAGGGCCGATTCACACCACATGTGCGTGGGGTGCATCAAAAACGCACAAATACTAGGCTATTTTTCCAATGGCATCGCTCACACCAGTGTGCTCAGTTCCAGTGTGTTCCATAAAAATTGAACACGCTGCCTGCTTATTTTCTTGAACTGTACTGGAACACAGTAAAACGCACCAGGACGCACATGTCCTTAAGGTGAAAGAGGGGAATAAATGCACCAGAACACATCCTAAATGCACATACAGAAACTCAAACAAACTGTTTCTATGGTGTGAACCAGGCCTTAATGAAGACCCGAGAGAGCTTTTTTGCTGCGCAAGTAGCCATGTAGAAAACTGCCTGTCAAGTCTCTCCATCTAAAGAGTCTAGATGAGCCTGTAAATTCAATACAACCAACTGTAAAAGCACCGTTTATTAGCCTATGTGCCCATCGAGGAGTGTTTACAGGCTGAAAAAAAAACCTCACCAATGCGTTCAAGAGGGTTGCTTTTGAGCAGAAAAAATGCTTTACGTGTGGAAATGTGCTTAACTACTAGATGCATTTTGCGCTTTATTGTTCATTCCAGTGACCAGAATGAATTTTATATTCTGTCCAAATGAATCCATTAACACTCAAACACCTAATGCGCTTAAACACTTGTGCAAGATGTGTCTAGACATGCTTTTACTGCCTGGAATAAAAGACGTTCAGAGGAGAAAATCTAATGCCCTTTGTGCATGATGTCTTCTGCACAGTGAGGTTTATTTACTAAAGCTAGAGCATGCAGAATCAGACTCACTTCATAGAAACCAATCAGCTTCAGTAATAAAACCTGGAAGCTGATTGGTTTCTATGCAGACGTTAGCCTGATTTTGCCTTCTCCAACCTTAGTAAAAAAAAAAAAAAAGAAACCCAGGGTGTCTTGGTGGAAGTGACTAACTTCATAGAGGCATGGCCTTGCTTCCTCATGTCAGATCCTCCAGCAAGAAGACTGGTGAGCAGTATGGTAGTGACCTCAACAAACTTTATTTCAAATCCTCTGAGCTAAGAAGTAGCTTTTAAACCGCAGGTATACAGCTATGAGGCTGTAGTTACATGAGTGTCCTTATACCCTAATATACCAGGAAGTGTGCTATTTTTCAGGGGAAAAAAAAAATCCAGGAAAGGCACATTTTCATCAGGGTACTACTGGGGCAGAATTAAAGCGGTGTTAAACACAAAATCACAAATGTAATATATTGCAGTTTACCGATCATTAGATGTGGTGGCTGCATAAGTTTGTCAGACCAGAGGCTGGAGGGTGTTGGATATACAAGCAGATTTAGGTTGACTAACACTTTATAATTCTTTACAAATCTTTTTTTTTTTTTTTTTTTTCCTCTTTGGAATAAAGGCTGTACGTAAAAGCTCACTGAAATCACTGCTGTGAATATTAAATGGTTTGTCTTGTCTCTGTAACTAATACATTCTGCTGGGGACCTTTTTGTGGTTTAAAAAAACAATTTGATTTACTAGCTGGATTACCAGAAGAAAATAGAAGGAAGAAAGCCTTAAAAAAAAAAAAAGGAAACTAATCCGGCCCTCAGATCTAGGAATTGGTAAGCTGCAATATACTTTTTCAAATTTCACACCTCAGGACCACATTGGGATGCAAAACAGCCCTATCAGCAATTTAAACAGAAGCTTGGGTATCTTTTATATTTCAGTCACCATGTTTAGATTCCTGGTGCTTGCATGTCACTAAAGGCTCATGTGAAGAAAAAAGGGCACACAAGTAGATAGTAGAATATATTAAATATAAGTGGATACTAAATTAATAAATCTTGGGTTCAGCTCCATGCATGGACCCCCAACCACATTCACTCTTGTATGTAGTGTTGCTTCTTCTTTTTTTTTTTTTTTTTTTTTTTTATATGGCATAGGACAGCTCATTTGCTTGAATGGGCTGCTCAATGCACTAAAGTTGCTCATGTACCCCCCTTTTGTGCAGGAACGCAGGATTGCTGCCAGTGTTTGCCATTAAGAATCAATGGCCATGGAAGTGTGTTGCGAATTTTGTTTGTGTGTTTTGTGTGTGTGTGTTTTTTTTTTTTTTTTTTTTTTTTTTTCCCACGTGTCTGGAAATGTGGGCAGAAGCACTTTTTATGCATGTACTGCTGTGGTCTCTCAGG